TGATCTCATTCAAATTGTGCTGACAGCAAAATTCTAAGGACATGAAAATGTGAACGTCATTCTGTTCTTCATGAATTTCTCCCATGGTAAGAAACACATATACACACACATGTACAAATCTACAAGTGAAAGCTATAGTACTGTGCTCTAGACATGAAGATGTCTTCCCTTTTGGAGATAATATTTGAACCACATATCATCAAACAGAGTCCTGTTTTTTTTTTAAGATTTATTTATTTACCACATATATAGTTTGCCTGTACACCAGAAGGCACCAAATCTCATTACAGATGGTTGTGAGCCATCATGTGGGTGCTGGGAATTGAACTCAGGACCTCTGGAAGAGCAGCCAGTGCTCTGAACCCCTGAGCCATCTCTCCAGCCCCAGAGTCCTGTTTTTACAAAGGAAGAAATGGACAGTGAGTGAGCCAAGTTTGAGCCTTCCATGAGTAAGATGGGTTTGTGGCAGTGCTGTCCACACATGATGATCTAGGTCAGCTCAACACCTCCCACCTGGGATAACTGCACAAACATACTTACACAGTGGAGATCATGGAAAGTACAGAGATCAGTCGTTCAGTGTGATTCCATGTCTCAGACCCACAGTAAGCTGGAGACACATGGGAGAAATGCTATGACCTTGTCTGCTCTTCAATGACAATTGGAAGAAGGGTTACAGAAGGTGAGAGCCATACACTCACACTCTAGTTATTGACATGCTGTGAGGGCTTGAATGAGTAGGTATTAGTGAAAAGACTGTAGCTAAGGCCAGGGGTGCTGGAGAGACAGCTCAGCAGCTGTTCAGTTTCCAAGACCCAAAAGTGAAGTACACCTCTGTCTGTAACTACAGTACCCTGGAATCTGAAGCCTTCCCGTGATCTTCAAAGACACCTGCATTCACACATACTTCACCCTCCCACATACACTCCACATAATTAAAAATAATACATATATATGTCTATGTGTGTATGTATGTATGAATGTATTTCTTTAAGAATTGGAGAGAGAAGTATACCTTCTCTGACTACAATACCTGCTTGCTTGTACTGTTTAGAGTTGTTTCACATGTGTTGAGTGTTTACCATATACTAGGCATCATATGGGATTTTACAGGCTTTAGCCCATACCCTTTCTAAACCCTGCATGCCCTGACCTGCAGGAGGAGATGTGGGAGGGTTGAGGAGCTGATTCATCATGTGCTCTTTCATGGGGTGCAGTCCTTGTGTGCACATTATAAAAGGCCATGGATGACTGCACAAGGAAGTCATCAAATGCTTTCATGGATGAGATTGTTTTAAAGATTCTCAGAAAGTATGACAATGCAAGCAACAAATAAGATGTGCTGGGCAGGAAACTGAGGAATCAAAGGTTCCTACTTTCAAGCCCATGTAACTGGAAACAGTGGACATAAGAAGCTTGGGAGGACCTCATCGGATAGTGTAGCAAAATGTATTTCTCTTTTTTACAGTGAAGAGTGTTAGAGTGTTATCAAGATAACTCAGAACAGAGCACAACCTAAAGGCTCCTAGACACCCAGTCTTCTCTTAGGGCTCTACTGCTTAAAGAAGCTCGAAGGGCACAGGAGGAAAGAACATTTTACTCCAGAAGTCACAACAATGGCTGGACCAGACATCGGCTTGGGGCTAAAACTGTAGGTCGGTGGTGTGCACTTGCCTTACATGTAAAAGGCCCCAAGGTCAAGCCCCCACAATGGAAAACAACACCAAAAGGAGTTTTTATTTGGGGCCAAGAAAAAGGGGTAGAAACAGAGACTAATAAAGAAGGCTACAGTCAGAGTCAGATTTTAAATGAGAGGATCAGAACGAAGATTAAAAACTCAAATCTTGGAGTAACTGTCAAAACCAGGAAAGTTAAAAGGGGACTACTACTGGGGTAGGGGAGTGGGGAAGCAACAGAGGATAAGGAATAGCAGGGTACAAGTGATCTGATCAGGGAAATGGAGAAAGAAGGGGGCTCTAATTAGGGCAGGGTGGGAGATATACAGAAGGAGGAGGGAGGGGGGTAAAATAACAGTAAAGACATCTGAAAAAGTCATAAGAAATCATACATTAACTATCTTCCTAAAAAAAGATATTACATCAAAGTCTGAGTATAAATATACATACATAGTTTAAGTGAATTTTCTCACCTGGGTTAACAATGCTTCCTCCAAGAGCCAAAGACTGTAGAGCAAAAACCCAACACCCAGGCACGAGAAGCCTGTTTGTGTTATTGGTTGAGGGCTGTCCAAGAGACTCCCAAAACATTAGAGGCTATTGCTCTTGTCCTTGGTTGTCCCCCAGAGGAAGAGAGTAAGTCCCTATTGCTGAAGGCACCATGTACTTCAGAAATAGAGCCTGGAGGTCACTGACCTGACTCCTTGAGGACTAGCTTTCTTGGTCCCCTGGAAGGGACCATGCAGGCTTACAAAGGAGGAAAGCAACCAACAGTCCTCCCTACCCATGATTACCTATAAATCAGCAACCAGCATGGCATGATAACCCTAAGGATGCCGTAGTGGCACACGTGCCTGAGTGGTAACCAACAGCTCTCTCATTGAACTTAAGATCCACCAAACAAGAAGGACAATATGCCTGGTACTGGAAAGCTAGACAACTATCAAGAGCCATGGAAGGTACGGATCTTGGAGGAGAATGAAAAACCACCACTTTACTATACCAGCATAATACCTATCAACAATCTAAACCCTTGTCCTTATACCCACAGATACGTATAATCTTCACCGCTTATCAACAAAACTTCTCTTTGCAACAGAAAACCACAATCAAATCAAAAAAACAGAGTTGTGGAGCCCAGCCCCAAAACAACTCCCTCACCTAAGGCTCAGGGAACATTACAAAAGAGGGGATAGACAGATTATAAGTCAGAAGGTCGGTGAGTTAACTGTGAGGCTGTGTTTCCCGGTACTGTCAGAAGCCACGCCCATAAAGTCTCACCAGCATGACTGTCTAGACATGAGCTGAACAAGGACAATAGACATAGTAAAGTGGATGGGGGACAGCAAGGCTTCAAACCTACACAAAGAACTATAGGCAACTAAGGAATGCTGAGAGTGAGAGAAAGATTTCCCAGTGGGAGAGCATACCAAGTGGTCAGCCCTGCAAATACACATACAAATAACATTATACATTATACAGATTGAGTAGGTTATATTTAGCAATCAATATGTATATACAAATACATATATACATCCAGTAACAATGAAAAAAGAGGCCATGAATTTGAAAGAGAGCAAGGAGGGCTACATGGAAGAACTTGGTGGGAGGAAAGGGAAGGGGGAAATGATGTAATTTATGGTATAAATCAAAAAATATTCTTAAAAAGCTCACACCAAGATGAGAAATTTAAACAAGAAAACTACAGCAGTAGAAAATGGTTGGAGAGAAACCCCAAATAAAACTTCACTGAACCTCCCTGGAAGGCTGAGGCAGGAGGATCATGAGTTTGAGGCTAGCCTGGGCTATATAATGAGATCCTGTCTTAAAAAGAAAAAAAAAAGAAATAATTAAACTTACTGACAACAGAGCGCCATTGGTTTTCTCTTTGTGAAGATGTGTCACATCCATTTTTCTGGGAAAAGTCCCTAAAAGTTTGCCTCTGGATACAATGATGGCTAATTAAAAAGCTTCCCTTCCTTTTCAGTGGTCTCAAGACTTATCACTCTGATTCCTGGGCTATAAATGAGTAAAACAGAGCCTCTGTGACTTCAAGAGTGAGATGTAGAAACAATTCTGAGCCATGAAGTCCCAAAGTCCATCCCAGGTAAGATGCTCGTCATGCTTCTGGGATAGATTGACAGGGGCAGGTGGCAGACAGCAACAGAACAGAGGCTGCAGCTGTGATGACTCCCCCAAGTATCCGCAGCATCAGCAACAGCTGTCCAGATGCACTCAGTGCAATTCTGCAACAAGTCTTCATGAATGAACTCATCCTTGCCCGCAGTCCTTCTGAGCTCTCTTCTCCCCTCTCAACACAAGGTAGGAAAGTAGGCCTAGAGAGTTTAGATGGCACCTCAAAGCCTGTGCCCAGTAAGGATAACAATGGGATTTGCAACAGGGAAACCACTCCGGAGACTGTATACTGTGGATTGCTGTGCTGACTAGAAAGAACCACAGACTTGCAACAATCCATTGCTAATGTCTGGCAGGACAGGTGGGAGAGCAGGTGAGGAAGGGCCTTCCAGGTAAAGTTGTAATTCAGAGGGCTTCAGAATTTTCAGCCATATAAGAAGTGGATATTCTTCTGTCCATCTGCCTGAACCTGGTATGTCAACAGCATGACCAACTAGGCAGTCCTGTGCAGATGCTTCAATGTTTACAGATGTGTTCTAAACAACTGCACATACGAGATTCAGTCATAATTGATCATTATGAAAATACACATTCTCAAATGTCAAATGTCAACTCAAAGCAGCCCCCATTGTCCCATTTTCTTAATTGATTATTATTGGTATAAAAGGGGCTATATATATGATATATTTAAAATCATTTATTATTATTAGGGGTAAGTTGAGGTAGACCATTTTATGTGACTTTTATTCTTAACCCTGTTCCCCTTTTTAAAAATTCATCTATGTTAGTCAAATAAACCCTTTCCTCCCCAAGTTGCTGTTGATCACGGTGCTTTAACATAGCAAGAGTAACCCCAAATAAGACACAACCACACACATTTTTCTTTTAATTCAAGTGTCTCTTAAATATACTAGGTAAGAATTCTAAAATTATCTTCTATATCAAGATGATAAAAATAGAGTATGCAAATTAGCCAGTATCACAGGAATAATTCGAGTGTGTTGGTTACAGTGCACCAAGTATCTCTGTGAATTCAGCTAATTCTATGATCTCAATAACAGCAGCTGGAAAATGGAAGCTGGTTCCCTGTGTTATAAACACTCACACCATATGAGACCCAAAAGTAACAAACCCACCTCGCTGCTTAAAGTTGCTTAGTTTCCTTTATCATCACCACTAGCACACAACCATTTTGTACATAATTTATTAAAAATAATTGAGAAATATTTTTGACTGAATAATAATGACTCTACAGCAAACCCAGTTGTATTCCCAATTTTTCCAAATGTTTGTTCTGAAAAATAATTGTCATGAGCCAGCCTGGTGAATTCAAGACAGACACACTGTGAACAATCACATGCATCCGAGTTGTACCTAGAATACCCGTGTAAAGCACTGAGCTCACTGACTGTAGGAAGTGTGGCCTCTGATCTAGAATTTGGTTGGCTATGAAGTTTACTCACGTATAAATTCTCAAAAATTTTTTAAAGTATTTGGCCTATTTCTATGTTTGGTAAAAACTGTAATTACAAACTATTTTTTAAAATAACTTTACAATCATGTAATTGTGACCAGCTATATCATCTAAAAAGGTATGAAGTTGTTATCCCAGAGATCAGTTGAGATTCTTATGCTGTGACGCTTACTTCACACACATCACTATTTCCCACTTCCAGTGTCCTTGAATTAAAGACAGAGATCGTAAATATGCTAGTCCACACTAGGTAGCCATATCCTACTTCTAACCACATTATTGTTTCTGTTATATAGAATGTTGCTTCTAATAGATCATGAAAGAGTCCTAAAGTTTCCATGGAAAAATTGAAAGTTCTTCACTAAGGACAGAAATGAAGCAATTACCAAAAATTTCAAAACAAAGTTGCTATTACATTGACCTGAAGAAAACTGACAATGCATATCTTACATACCACAGAAAGACTATTTTATGAGAAGAGACAACTTTTAAGAATATTTTGGATTCTTCAACCCAAGTACAAGTTTCAAAATCAGATAGGAGAGAAAGAGAAAAAGAAGTGGAGAGGGGATGGGAGTATAGACCATTTGGGATTTCACAGAAAAAAACTTTTAAGAGTAACAAAAAATACAATTTAAAGAAGTTTTGAAATCTAAATTTAACTGACAAAGTCGGTACAAAGGAGATGCAGATTCCGTGTAGGATTTTTACCCAGGATAGAACCTAAAAGCAACCCCCACTGGAATGGAACTGCACACACACTCAATGGCTGCTTGACAATCTACCTTGGCACTATGAAGCCAGGCCATGTTACAAGAATATCACAAATGTAAGACACAGTATATACAGTGTAAAATGTTTGGAGAAACAACAGTTTCCAAGCACCATACGAACCATCAATTAATTCATTGATTGGAGATAACCGTTTCTACAGTCTCCAATTGGGTTATAGGTGAAGTAGTCCATAAATAGACTCAGATCCATTAAATTTTATTGCACTATAAATTGGCTGATGTCATTATGCTCAATGTAAACAATAATGCAAATTCCCTTAAAGTTTCTATCTATAGATGACACCTGGGTAAAAAAGAATTAATTAAAACCCATGCAAAATAGTTTTCAAGTTCACGTGTACTAATGTACAAAGTTTCTCTGTAAATGTGCATTTCCATGGACATTCTGCAGACCAAGGCAGGTTGCGGGGGAAGCCCCAAATATAACATCTTTTTTTTAAATCCTGGTTTATATTTAAAAGCAGTGATGAAAAGGTATTAGGTCCATTAGTTTGGGTACCCTGTTCAAAGTTCTTCACCTCTTTGCACATACTTCTGCTAATGTCCTAAATTTGGGCTCCAAATGGTCCAAAAACTCAAGCCCATCTTCTTCCTGTTGGTCACTACAGCAACCCACAGAGCCAGCAGCGGAACCTCTGCCTTCATAGTTGTACGTGAGGACGTAGTCTTGAGCGAGCTGTTGGTTGTCATCCTCGTGGCACAACTGCACCTTCTGTCGGGGAGAAAGCACAACATGGTTTATTTTTATTATTTTAAGCACCAAAACATACTTACAGAAAAAGAATTGCTTCTATTTACCTTTCATTGTTTAATATTTAATCAGAGTGTGTCCTCTAATGGTTTCCTATGTGTAGAAAATGCACATGATTGGTCTGTATCATAAAATCACACCATAAAGTCAGTATTAGCATGCTTCTAAAAGTCCTGAGTGGCAGTAAGTCCCCAAGTGTTCATCTTAAGTGGCCATTGCTTCCCTCTTTCTAAATAATGACAAAAGTGAAAACACACTCAGTAAACTGAGCCCAAATTGATACGAGCTCCATTTTTTCTGAATAGAAAAGTGACGGCACATATTGGTATTGCCTTGCGCTAGAGGTTGGGTTGCTAAAACAAAATTTGTAAGATGCAAAGTCATAGCACAAAATTATTTCCTTAACTAGTCATAAAAGCCATGGGGTGGTGATGGTGTGTGCCTTTAATCCCAGCACTCAGGAGGCAGAGGGAGGCAGATCTGAGTTTGATGCCAGCCTGATCTACAGAGCAAGTTCCAGGAAAACCAGGGCAACACAGAGAAACCGTATCTCAAAATACCAAAAAGCAACAAAACAAAAAAAAAAAGGAGTAATACAATATTCAGGAAAGTGAATGACCACATTAATCTGAACATAATTAAAACCCAAATTAATTAAAAATAGTAACTTTCCAATAAGTCGATCCATCATTAACTAAAAGTAGCAGTCTCCACAAACACTAAGCTGGAACCTTTTGTAAAATTAAATGCTATCAATATAAGTTTGGGGAACAGCTCAGGAACTCACTTCACCAAGTCGGGGCTGAGTGAAGTTGTGCCACTCCGAGTACGTGTGTCTGTAGCTGTCCACCTCCACGAGTCCTCCTCTGCAGGGATCCAGGGTGTGGTGATGGTACCCAGCCCCCCGGCAGGACTCCAGGGTCTGGTGGCCGCCTTTCACCATCTCAATGGTCTCTTGCCCTCCGCTTTTGACTCCTGCTCCCGAGGGGCCAAAAGCGGCCTGCCCAGAAGCCCCCACAGCTTGAGTTGTGAAGCCATTTGCGGAATACTGAAACGATAATGGCGGACATCAGTTAAATATACAGAGGAGCAAAGGGCAGTAAGAAGGATGAGCAGGAGCAGATGAGGCCTCGGCCTTAGGTCGGCATTAGAAGAGAATCTTCCCAAAGACACGGAAGGACTGGACCTGTTCTTTCCATCTGTCCTTCAATCCTCGGTACCTCTAGCACGTGCCCTGTACTAGATATCACGTCTAACACAAGAAATAAGCTGCAGGTGCACATCAAAATGCTCGATGGAGATTCCACTTTTTTTTTTTAAATTTTATTTTACAATACCATTCAGTTCTACATATCAGCCACGGGTTCCCCTATTCTCCCCCCTCCCACCCCTTCCCCTTACTCCCAGCCCACCCCCCATTCCCACCTCCTCCAGGGCAAATCCTCCCCCGAGGACTGCGATCAACCTGGTAGACTCAAGTCCAGGCAGGTCCAGTCCCTTCCTCCCAGACTGAGCCAAGTGTCCCTGCATAAGCTCCAGGTTTCAAACAGCCAACTCATGCAATGAGCACAGGACTTGGTCCCACTTATAATAAATTTCAGTTTTACTCAATTCTTGAAAAAAATAGCCAAATGAATGGAAACACATGAACTATGAACCAAAGGCTGAGGGGCCCCCAGCTGGATCAGGCCCTCTGAATAGCTGAGACAGTTGATTGGCTTGATCAGTTTGGGGAGGCATCTAGGCAGGAGATTCCACTTTTAAACACTCTTTAGCATACAGGACACAGTCCGTTACAGCCTTCCAATGCCTTGAAAGCAGCATTGCTGTGTCACAGGGATTTACTTTCTCAGTTAAACCCGTTCCCCTTTATCAGGTAGGAGAAGAAACAGAAATAATGAGAAGCTTTCTCAGTCAACAACGAACTTAGTTCCTCCCAACTCAAATACAAAGAAAAATTTACTACGAACGTATAATCCTTGCAGTCTCATAAATCAAACAATAAACCAGGCAGGACAATACCAGAAATGCCAACACACTGGCCCCTCCTCTTCCAGGTAGTGTGTTTTCACCCTGCAATATAATTTAAGTTTTTTCCCCTCGGTCTTTTTCTCAGCTATGGTTACGTTTTTTGTGTTGTTTCTGTTGTTTGTGTGTTCGCGCTTCTAGACCTTTCCTGCCCGGCCATGAGCTGGGCTTTGGAAGACAGTGGCTCCGTCTTCCTTCACACACTGGGCTAGGAACGCAGAGCCCCTCAGCAGCCTCCAGCTTCTGTACTGCTTTAGACCGCCCGCCTCCGGCTCACTTCTAACCCACATGATAGCCAGGAAGAATCCAATAAACTTTTTCCCACCGTGATCAAAGTCAGTAGTGGTTTTATTGCTGGAGCCAGGTTTAAAAAAAAAAAAAATTATACTGGTGATCTGTGAGTAATTAAGAACAATGTTTTAAAGCATAAACAGCAATTTAGATAGATTTAAAAAACAAAAACACAGGCCTAACATTGAAGCCAGGAGACACATGGAACAGAAAAAAAAATTCATACTAAAGGATTTTTTCAATATTAAGTAGCACTGCATGGCCAAATTGAAATACCTCACATCTGTGGGAACTATATGCATTTTACTGATTGCCTTGCATGGATGGCATTTGCTGCTAAATTACCAGACACCAAAAGAAGTTTGTTGAGAAAACCAAACAACAAAACTGGTTTTTAGAAGGAGCGCGTCCTGTAGGCTAATGGTCCTCTGTTTAAAGATGGGTGAGCGACTTACAATTTTGTCATCGCCAGGAGCCTCGGTGTTTGACACGATTAGGTTCTGCTGCGCTATGTCATCAGGAAGAATTTTCTGCTGTTTTGTTGCCTGGGAAACACTGCAGACTAATGTAAACAGGATACCTGGCGAAGGAAAGGAAGGAAGGGACTCCCTTAGGTCTCTCATCCATAATGTCCAACTGTGTTTACAGCATCTGATACGAACAAATCAGGCATCAAAAGGTGTCTGCTGAACACCTTCAAGAACGTATGATTGCGTGAGTAAAAGCATGAGTGTCCTAACAGATATGCTACAAACACAGACCACATGATATATTTCTACAGTGAACTGTATCTTCTGCTGAGAATTCACACAAGTACATTTAAACATATGTATTAAGTACATGAACTGATGAGGTGGCTCAGTAGGAAAAAGTGCATGCCACCAAAATGGATGATCTATGTTCCCTCCCAGAGTCCCACAGACTCCTGAAAATTGTTCTCTGACTGTCACACAGGGCATATTGTCACCAAAATAAGATCGATATATGTAAAAAATCTGAAATACATACGTTAAATATATTGTTAATAGAAATATATCTATGTCCAAACTGCAACCTATAAGCATTAACATTCATTCTGAGAATACGTCTTAAAATTGTTTTAAAGGACTTACAAAACAGCAAGGCTATGCCCAACAGTATAGCCAGAATAGCCCAGGGTCCGAGTCTCACGTCGGCATAGCCGGCCCTTTCTCCTGAGCGGGTTGTGCAGTCACTTTCAGTAATGCAGTCACAAACAATGACGTTCAGTGAAGTGACTGAGGACAGACCGAGCCTGTCTGTAACTCGGACAGGAACTATGTAGGATCCAAATGAAGGGTCATTCTGATAGGACAGACGAGCTGCTGTATCTGAATAAACAAATAAAACCAGGTGTTACAAAGCCACCAACATCTCTTCAGGAAAAATGGCCAGTTATCAAACAGATATCCATTTTCCTACAATTGGACACTTGTGGATTATCATAAATGCTATGACCCTGAAGCTGTGG